AAAAAAAAAAAAAAAAAAACGTTATAGAACAACCGATGGATGTTCAAGTACAAGACTTCTGAAATGTCAAAAAGCATGAACATGAAAACTTTATCAACACCAAAAGTAAGTGGCCGGGAACTGCAGATATACAATGCATAAAAGAGAGCAAGTGCCCTATATGCTAAAGGCATGTTATTGAAGCATATATCACGTAGCGTGGACAACCAAGACAGCAAAATTTTAGCTTTCGGTTATCCGTTTATTTCTTGCAGACTTGCAGAAAGAAGTGGTCAATATTCGCAGCGATTACTAGTGAGTTGTAGTTTAGCACTATCCACTTCAATTATGCAAACATGGAACAAACAAGAATGATATTTTCAGCTTAAAATAAGTTCAAGAAATGGGCTTTTGTTTCTGTGATGCTATAACTCAATGCATTACCTTTTCGAAAAACACACATCACTTGTTTTTTTGATTATATACTCTACTTAATTGTCTTCTTTTTCTTTTTCTTATTTTTTTTTTCGGGTAGGGGCAAGATTGGATTCTGGCTACAGGCACTTCCACAATTGAATCTTGAATCATTACCATGATGCCATATACAACAGGGTAACTGCAGCAGCAACCCAAATCATAATACTAAGATTTCATTCTAAAATTACACGAATCGCATTAAGACCGCATCGGTGGATTTAACAAACCAAAAGTAAAAAACGTAGGATTAAGGAAAATCACTTGCACATGAAAAGAACAACAGGAAATGAACCTAAAACAATGTGATCAATAAAAAAGGCAAACCCCAAATTCAAATCAAACAATAAATTCAAAGCCCACGAGGACGAACTGATTAACCCCACGCCTTTTTTGTTTACAAACAATTCTTACAGATGATTGCGTGTCGTATGCAAGCCAAACCGTAGAGAACTGACCCCAGCCCAGCTTCTGCTGGGCGATATACCGGCCGCCGGCGAACGAGTCGCCGATCCTCACGGCGTGGTATCCGCCTTTCCTGTATGAGTCGATCGCTTCATCCTCGTCCTCCGATCCCGACGACGACGACGGGCACCCAGACATGATTGATATTGCAAAATAACGATCCCAAATGTACTGTGACAGTTCGCGATCGCTGATCCTTCCCAAAAAAATTTCAATTTTTTTTCAAGATTACGTTTGAGATTGGGAGGAAAAGTGGCAATGGAAGGAAGATGAAAGCTATGAGCTTGACAATATTTATTAGTTAATTTTATATATTTATTTATTACTATTTTTTTATTTTAATTAGAAAGTGAGTGGGTTGGGATGTGGCTTCCAACACAAAACTCTCCACTTTTTGCTCTTATGCTTCAGTTTCGGTGCGCTTTTTCTCTTTTCTTTATCCTTTTTATTTTTATTTTTTCTAATTCAAAAATAAGATGCTTAAAAAAAGAGAATTAAATATTTTTCGTGGGTGTGTTTACTTGATAAAATGTAAAAGACATTTAGAGTTTAATTGATAAAAATGTTCCACACAAATTAAATCATATTTATCTCCGTGACCTGAGTCACTGAGATAAAAACAAAAATAAAAAAAAAAAAATAATGAAAAAGGTCATCAATGTTGGACCGGCTCTATTTTCGGTATTTTATTCGTTTTCTAGTTCACAGCCCGGCTCTAATGGCCATGGACAGACTTACATTAGGCCTGGGTTGGGCTGAAGCCCAGGCCTGTTACTTACTTTAACTATTAATTACTTTAACTTTTTCTTTCTTTTTAAATTCCTAGCCCAGCCCAATTAAAATACTCAAGCTCAATTGTCCAAATGGCATTAAAAATAATAGCGTGATATACTAACATATCATTTTTTATCTTTTATTTTTTATATCTAATATTTTATTTCCTGTATATTATCTTTTACTTTTTACGTCTTTTCTAAATTGATGGTTCCAGTTCAAATCTTTCGTCAGATTTTCTTTTACATACATGACGTCTCTATCATTTTCAA